CTATAGCGACATATATTCGCTAAAATGTTTACATCTCAAAAATAGCTGGACTGATTTTGACAAATCTTGTCAATTTAGAATGCCCTTTTGACAGGAAGGAAAAAATCTACAAAAGATCTCAATAAAGATGTGGATATTGATTTTGTGATATTTTCTTATAATATTCCATTTTGTCACATTTTTGTCGCATGAGATATTTTCATTTTGGCTTACAATATTGAATTTTACATTTTGTAATATTTTTACTCCTTAGAACACTATATAGTTAGATTATTATATACAGGGCACATTTATGACCCGATTCTCACGAAATATTGGATGCAGGTGGGGTTAGTGTCAGAATAGAAGCCTTATGTTTTTGGAGATGATCGCAAAATATTCAGGGGCTCAAATGTATCAAAAACTGAAAGTTTACTGACACGTCATAATAATCGTCCGATACTTAGGAAATTTTAAGTGGGAGTTCGGTATCGGTCTTGCCAAGCATTTTGGATGGCCATCGGATAACAGTTAGTGGATAAAATAGGCCCAAATTTTTGTGGGAAACCAGTAAAGAAAGTCCTAAAGTCGCGCGGGGCCGACTTTATGATAGCCTACACCACTTTGCTAATTTAGTAGAGCTCCGCATAACAATTAAAAGTTTTTATGGGAGAATTCAATCATACACTCTATGATTATAATTTAAAGTTCAAAGGACTAAATATGCCAAAGCATTTGTATCTTTTAAATTCGGACTTGTATTGCCCATTTAGTGTACAATTAATTTGAAATCGGACAACGATATATTTTTTTTTTAAATCGGAACCGATCTCGATAAAATTTGGTAAAGATATTTCTGAGCTGTATTTGATATATTTCCCTGTATATCGTTGTTACGGAGTGTATATTACGGCTGTGGGTAACAAATACAACAAATCGGATGAACAATATATATTGGAGCTATAGCTATATCTGAACCGATCTTCACCAAATTTGACATACTAGCTTCTAGACTCAATTCGGTCGTAAGTGGCAAATTCCCTCCCATATTAGACGTTTGGTGCACAATAAAAAGTAAATCGGACGAAGTTATATATTATGGAGCTATATCCAAATCTGAACTGATCTCGATAAAATTTAGCAAATGTATTTCTGAGCTGTATTTGATATATTTGCCCAAATATTGTTGTTACAGAGTGCATATTACGGCGGCGGTGGACAAAAATAACAAATCGGATGAACAATATATATGGGAGCTATAGCTATATCTGAACCGATTTCGATCAAATTTGGCATACATATTTTCAGGCCTAATTTGGGTGTATATGCAAAATTCCATAAAATTCGGGCTGACATTACACGTTTGGTGCACAATAAAAGGCAAATCGGACGAAGATATATATGGGAGCTATATCTGAATTTTTACCGATTATTTCCAATTTCAATAGGGTTCGTCCTTGGGCCAAACAAATGATCTGTGCAAAATTTCATTTGGATCGGGCAATAAATGCGACCTGTACTTTGTTTACAAAAATACATGGACAGACGGACGGACGGACATGCATAAATCGACTCAGAATGTGATTCTATGCAGATCATCAAAAGGAACTATGGGTCTATCTCGTTTCCTTCTGCCTGTTACAAACAAATGCACAAAGACATAATACCCTGACCACCTTGTGGTGTAGGGTATAATGAATGAAAAATATGTGATGCCTAAAATTATGCTTTAATTTTGTTTGTCATTTATTTCAGCGTATGATCCATAAACAATAAATTTTCGTTTTGTTAAAAATCAAAAATCAAATTAAAAATAAAAAATTGAATTTCTTGAGTCACTTCAGTCCGACATTATCTATGTACCTTTAACTTATGATGTCGATTAACTGCCATCCATTTGGCGTATAAGTCACGAATTTGTGTGGATAAGTCAAATATCTGTGACGTATTCTCAACATCGGGCAATCTTCTAGCTGTCAATTATAATCACATAAACACTTAAATGCCTCAAGTGTTCTGAAAATAGAAGAGAAGCACTCGAATGACGACATATTTTAGATACTTCGAAGCTAACTCTATTTGAATGGAATTGCAATAAAAAGGTGGTTTGCTTTGAAAAATATCGGAAGGTGTAAGTTCGGGCTCAAACTTTGAATACCGGGCCAAACTTTTAATACACTCCTCCATTTGCAACGAATTTAGCAATTTTCAAAAAAAAAAAAAAAAATCCGTTAAAAATTCTGTTAAATCTTAAAAATACCGAATGCAGCCGTTATATTATGGTCTATACGACGACGTGGAAACCTGAAAAAAATCTGTAAATAATATAGCTAAAATCATCAAAATACCGAATATAGGGAGGTACCGCTATATGGGGGCTATACGAAGACGTGCATCTGCACAGACAATTTTCTGTCATAGGCTGTAGTATTCATTGCGAACTTTAATTACCAAATTTGAAACAATTCCAATGAATAATGTCGCTAAAATCATCAAAATACCGAATATCGGGAAGTACCGTTATTTGGGGGGCTATATAAAAACGTGGACCTACATGGCCCATTTTCAATACCAAAAGTCCTTCAGACATAATATGCATTTGAGTAAAATTTTATCAATCTACTTCAATTCGTTCGGAAGCTAGAGTGATTTCCACAGACGGGCATACGGTCGGACATCGCTAAATCGACATAGAATTTTATGCTGATCAAGAATATATATATATGTATAAAATGTATATTTCGAGGTGTTATATACTATGGTGGATGGTATAAAAACAAAGGCAGGATCCGAGTGCCGCTCTGACATCGGCATAGAATATGTCACCAAATATGTCACACCAACTTATTAATGTTTCAATGCGCGATCCGACATATAGAAAATTTATTTATGCATTCTCTTTTTGGGGGAAGCCTTTACACCATATACGGGAAATAATTTGGTACTAATTTTGGTATTGTATGACGGGATAGGGCTGGAATCAACAAATTTGATATTGAGGTCTCTGTTTGTTATCTGGGATTGAGATATGAAGGTGATTTTCGAAATGTGTTCGAAAAGTAATAAATCGTACTAAATTTGTTGAAGAGATAGAAATGAAATTCTGAGATTTAACTTTTAGATTACTGATGGTATCTGTGTTTGAGATTTGAGGATGGTTTCGAAATGCTGCCTATATTTATACAAAAAGTACTAAATGGTATTAATTTTGTGAATTGTATGAAGGGATGGATGGAGGCTGGAATCCATAAATTTTATATTGAGGTCTCTGTTGGTATCTGAAATTTAGATATGGACGTATATAAAGACAAGGACCTGCATAGACAATTTCTGTCACAGGCTGTGATACCTATTAGGAACTTCAAATAAAAAATTTCAAGCAATTTCGGTGAATATTGTACCCAAAATCGTCAAAATACCGAATCTAGGGAGGTATTGATATACGGGGCCTATACGAAGACCTGGACCTGCACAGAAAATTTTCTAGCAAAAGACTGTACTTTCCATTATGAACTCTAAAGACGAAATTTAAATAGTGTCGCTAAAATCATAAAAGTATCGAATATTGGGAGATATCGTTATATGGAGACTATACGAAGATGTGGGTCTGCATACGTAATTTTTTGTCGTAAGCTGTAGTGCCAATTACGAATTCTAAATACGAAATATTAAACAACTTCGGTGAATAATGTCGCTAAAATCATCAAAATACCGAATATTGGGAGGTAGCGTTGTATGTGGGCTATACCAGATCGTGGACCTATATAGACATTTCTCTTCCATGGGGTAGAGTACTCAGAAGGAACTATTTTTGTGGATTTTCAGACAATTTTATTGAAAAAATTGGCTACACACCAAGATCGACTCCAAAATGTCCTGAAACGGATTTCGTGCAAAGAGACCTTGGGTCTAAAACTGTTATTTGACCTATCAAGTGATGTAAAACCTCCGTAGCCTTATGGCTAATCTAAGTAATCAAATTTTCAAATCGCACCAGTCAACCAGGTGGACAGATGGACGGGTGACTCCAACACATCGATTCCATATATCATGTAGCGGATTTGGTCCAAACATCTACTAGACCATACCAATGTCAGCCATGTCAGCGTAAGTCGATTTAGGATTAACGTCAGATCTTTTGTCTCTTTGTTATAACCTTTCGAACGAACTGAGATCGAAGAGAAGCATTTTGAAAATATGTGTATTTTATCAGTACGCGGAACATGTTTGCAGTGGGTCCATGTCGGTTAACGTGTTCGTATAGTCCCCATATGGTATGGTACAATAAGGAGGTAGAACAGCTTCGTAAAACTACAAAAATTCAGCTCTGATGCTTTGCCCGCTTCCTGTCAGAATTATTCAAAATTGTTAATTTCTAAATTAAGTCAAATACCGCGAAAGATGAATGAAATGTCTGGATATTCTCTCAAAAATATGACCCTAAGTATTCAATCATTCAATTCCATGGCAAATCTGGTTAATATTAAAAATGCGCGCCCCGCAATTTAAGTTTCTTCCAATCATTGATTTTGATTTGCGTTCACGTTTTGGTATATCCGTACCACCCCCTTTACCTAACCAATTTCACTGGCATTTGCCGTTAAAAATGGACTTCGTTCGAGCATTAAATCTCCATTATTTTATTTGCTATGGTTATCTTTGCCCCATGGTAGCGCGTATTAAAAGTTCCGCCTTCCAGAATTTACCACTTTCTAATTAATTTTCTCGTCTAATACCAAAAGCCATTGTTTTCAACAAAAACAAAATGCCAGGTGTTTCTCCAGACCCCCAATAACATCAATCAAAATTCTTGAGCCCGAATAAAATCTCGAAAAGTCTAAATATTTTTAAAAATAAAAGTCCGTGGATTATTTGACAACCCTTGGCTATCAAGATATTGATAATTGGTACCACCCAAGGTGCATTTGCCAACGCTAATTGCCCTTGACATAATGGAACATGCGGCTGATAAGCTATAACCACCATTACCACCGTCAATTGAGGAAAGATAACCCAAATGTTGACAGTTCCAATGGGTATGCTAGTCAAAAATTTTTTGGCTATAAAATCGTGGACAAATTGAAATTTTGTAGTTAATTGTCAACGTAATTCAAAGCTGAACACAATGAAATTCACAATTTTTGTTTTGGTAGCCGTTTTGGGCTTGGTCGCGGTCAATGTAAGTTCGGACGCCCTGGATTAAGCGAAAAAAAAAATAGTTAATTTGGAACATTTTATTTTTTTGCAGGCCAATGCCGTTGGCTTTGAGGACCCCTATCCCAAAATGGAATATGTTCCCACGGATCTCGCCAGCGGCGAGGTCGATGTTGAAAACTTCACCATTTTCAGCTCCTTCTGGTGGATTGCCAGAGCCGCCTTGAAAACCTTGAAGGGTGTCAACTGCACCATCAAACAGGTTATGGCCATCCGCGATGCTGCCCAAAACTTCTTGCCCAGCCTTCAAGCCTGTGGTACTGATGCCGTCAATGCCTATAAGAATGTCATCACCTCGGCCCAAGCTGTTGTCCAGACCTGTAACACCATCATCAACATCAACGAAGAAGTTTGCAACAATGATGTTTCCACCGATGGGAAAACCTCTACCCCCTCCACCTGCTTCAAACAACTGTTGAGCCAATTGGTCACCTTGAACAAACAGATCAAGGCCACTAAGACTGCCATTAAGAAGGTTCCCGCCGTACCCTCCGATGCTGCCGATTGCGCCAACAATGCTGTCAACGATTTGACCTCGCCCATGACCAATTTCGCTTCCAACATTAAGGCTTGCTCCAAATTGACCAGCAACTAAGTGGTGTATTTTTTGGATTTGTGAAAATATATGTAATTGAAATATAAAGTTGTTTCATGGTGTTTAATTGACATAAAGGGGGAAATAACCGGAGGGGGGAACTGAGAAAAAATCCAGAGGTCAGTAAATGAAGTCATTTTTGCAATAGAAAGAAATCGAGGCCTTACCTGATGCGGCCATTTTTTCCAATAAAAGAAAGTTAAGGAGGCAATTTTTTATAGAAAACCGGTGAAGAATGTCCAAAAATCGGGCGGGGTTTTCCGATTTCGTTTTCAAATTTGGCATACTTACAGGGTGAGATAAAAAACTGCAACAGAGTCAAACGCCATAATTTTTACATTTTTATACCCTACAACACTATGTGTTGGGGGTATTATAAGTTTGGTTGGGACAAAAATTATGTAACACCTCGAAATATTGGTTTCTCACATAGGAAAGTATATATGGATCTTCTTATCTCACCGATCTGAGTCGATCTAGCTATGTATGTCCGTCCGTCCGTCTGTCCATGTTAATTTGTAGTCACTCTACAGGTCGCAATTATGGTCCGATCTTCACGAAATTAAGAATGGAGGTGGGGATAGGGGTAGAATAGAACCCTATTTATTTTGGAGATGATCGCATAACATCTAGGGGTTGAAATGGACCAAAAACTGAAAAATTACTTAATTTTGTAGTTGCTCTACAGGTCGCAATTATAGACCAATCGACGCGGAAATTAGCATGAGGCTAGGGATTAGGGCTTGTGTTAAATAAAAGTCTATTTTTCTATTAAACCGCGAATATTTTTTATCCCGGCGATATCACAAATAGACGAACAGGTCAATCCCGACCGTTACGTAGATGCCGATAGTAAATATATCGGATGTATATAGCGAAATATATACAAAGGAAGGGGATGTTAGCTAAAATGCTTATATCTCAAGAATGGCTGGGCCGATTTTGACAAATTTTATCAATTCAGAATGCCCTCTTGGCATAAAAGAATAGAATCTAAATCGCATAAAAAGATGACAGTAAATGTTAATATACATTTTGTAGTAGTTAAGGAGCTATGGCCATTTTAAAGTTTTCAATAATTCATGCTTAAAAAAGTGATCACAAATAACAGCTAAAAACGCCGAAAACTCAATATTTTAGGAGTTATGGCCATTTTAAAGTTTTCAATAATTCATGCCCAAACAACTGATCACAAATAATAGCTAAAAACGCCGAAAACTCAATATTTAAGGAGTTATGGCCATTTTAAAGTTTTCGATAATTCGATAATTTTCGATAAATAATAGCTAAAAACGCCGAATACTCAATATTTAAGGAGTTATGGCCATTTTAAAGTTTTCGATAATTCATACTTAAAAAAGTGATCACAAATAACAGCTAAAAACGCCGAAAACTCAATATTTAAGGAGTTATGGCCGTTGTAAAGTTTTCAATAATTAATGCTTAAAAAAGTGATCACAAATAATAGCTAAAAACGCCGAAAACTCAATATTTAAAGAGTTATGCCCATTTTAAAGTTTTCGATAATTCATGCTTAAAAAAGTGGTCACAAATAATAGCTAAAAACGCCGAAAACTCATTATTTTAGGAGATATGGCCATTTTAAAGTTTTCAATAATTCATGCCCAAATAACTGATCACAAATAATAGCTAAAAACGCCGAAAACTCAATATTTAAGGAGTTATGGCCATTTTAAAGTTTTCGATAATTCATGCTTAAAAAAGTGATCACAAATAATATCTAAAAACGCCGAAAACTCAACATTTAAGGAGTAATGACCATTTTAAAGTTTTCGATAATTCATGCTTAAAAAAGTGATCACAAATAATAGCTAAAAACGCCGAAAACTCAATATTTAAGGAGTTATGGTCATTTTAAAGTTTTCGATAATTCATGCTTAAAAAAGTGATCACAAATAATAGCTAAAAACGCCGAGAACTCAATATTTAAGGAGTTATGGCCATTTTGAAGTTTTCAATAATTCATGCTTAAAAAAGTGGTCACAAATAATAGTTAAAAACGCCGAAAACTCAATATTTAAGGAGTTATGGCCATTTTAAAGTTTTCGATATTTCATGCTTAAAAAAGTGATCACAAATAATAGCTAAAAACGCCGAAAACTCAATATTTAAGGAGTTATGGCCATTTTAAAGTTTTCGATAATTCATGCTTAAAAAGTGATCACAAATAATAGCTAAAAACGCCGAAAACTCAATATTTAAGGAGTTATGGCCATTTTAAAGTTTTCGATAATTCATGCTTAAAAAAGTGATCACAAATAATAGCTAAAAACGCCGAAAACTCAGTATTTAAGGAGTTATGGTCATTTTAAAGATTTCGATAATTCGTGCTTAAAAAAGTGATCACAAATTATAGCTAAAACCGCCGAAAACTCAATATTTAAGGAGTTATGGCCATTTTAAAGTTTTCGATAATACATGCTTAAAAAGTGATCACAAATAATAGCTAAAAACGCCGAAAACTCAATATTTAAGGAGTTATGGCCATTTTAAAGTTTTCGATAATTCATGCTTAAAAAAGTGATCACAAATAATAGCTAAAAACGCCGAAAACTCAATATTTAAGGAGTTATGGCCATTTTGAAGTTTTCGATAATTCATGCTTAAAAAAGTGATCACAAATAACAGCTAAAAACGCCGAAAACTCAATATTTAAGGAGTTATGGCCATTTTAAAGTTTTCGATAATTCATGCTTAAAAAAGTGGTCACAAATAATAGTTAAAAACGCCGAAAACTCAATATTTAAGGAGTTATGGCCATTTTAAAGTTTTCGATAATTCATGCTTAAAAAAGTGATCACAAATAATAGCTAAAAACACCGAAAACTCAATATTTAAGGAGTTATGGCCATTATAAAGTTTTCGATAATTCATGCTTAAAAAGTGATCACAAATAATAGCTAAAAACGCCGAAAACTCAATATTTAATGAGTTATGGCCATTTTAAAGTGTTCGATAATTCATGCTTAAAAAAGTGATCACTAATAATAGCTAAAAACGCCGAAAACTCAATATTTAAGGAGTTATGGCCATTTTAAAGTTTTCGATAATTCATGCTTAAAAAAGTGATCACAAATAATAGCTAAAAACGCCGAAAACTCAATATTTAAGGAGTTATGGCCATTTTAAAGTTTTCGATAATTCATGCTTAAAATAGTGATCACAAATAATAGCTAAAAACGCCGAAAACTCAATATTTAAGGAGTTATGGCCATTTTAAAGTTTTCGATAATTCATGCTTAAAAAAGTGATCACTAATAATAGCTAAAAACGCCGAAAACTCAATATTTAAGGAGTTATGGCCATTTTAAAGTTTTCGATAATTTATGCTTAAAAAAGTGATCACAAATAATAGCTAAAAACGCCGAAAACTCAATATTTAAGGAGTTATGGCCATTTTAAGTTTTCAATTATTCATGCCCAAATAACTGATCACAAATAATAGCTAAAAACGCCGAAAACTCAATATTTAAGGAGTTATGGCCATTTTAAAGTTTTCGATAATTCATGCTTAAAAAAGTGATCACAAATAATAGCTAAAAACGGCGAAAACTCAATATTTAAGGAGTTATGGCCATTTTAAAGTTTTCGATAATTCATGCTTAAAATAGTGATCACAAATAATAGCTAAAAACGCCGAAAACTCAATATTTAAGGAGTTATGGCCATTTTAAAGTTTTCGATAATTCATGCTTAAAAAAGTGATCACTAATAATAGCTAAAAACGCCGAAAACTCAATATTTAAGGAGTTATGGCCATTTTAAAGTTTTCGATAATTTATGCTTAAAAAAGTGATCACAAATAATAGCTAAAAACGCCGAAAACTCAATATTTAAGGAGTTATGGCCATTTTAAGTTTTCAATTATTCATGCCCAAATAACTGATCACAAATAATAGCTAAAAACGCCGAAAACTCAATATTTAAGGAGTTATGGCCATTTTAAACTTTTCGATAATTCATGCTTAAAAGAGTGATCACAAATAATAGCTAAAAACGCCGAAAACTCAATATTTAAGGAGTTATGGCCATTTTAAAGTTTTCGATAATTCATGCTTAAAATAGTGATCACAAATAATAGCTAAAAACGCCGAAAACTCAATATTTAAGGAGTTATGGCCATTTTAAAGTTTTCGATAATTCATGCTTAAAAAAGTGATCACAAATAATAGCTAAAAACGCCGAAAACTCAATATTTAAGGAGTTATGGCCATTTTAAAGCTTTTGATAATTCATGCTTAAAAAAGTGATCACAAATAATAGCTAAAAACGCCGAAAACTCAATATTTAAGGAGTTATGGCCATTTTAAAGTTTTCGATAATTCATGCTTAAAAGAGTGATCACAAATAATAGCTAAAAACGCCGAAAACTCAATATTTAAGGAGTTATGGCCATTTTAAAGTTTTCGATAATTCATGCTTAAAAAAGTGATCACAAATAATAGCTAAAAACGCCGAAAACTCAATATTTAAGGAGTTATGGCCATTTTAAAGTTTTCGATAATTCATGCTTAAAAAAGTGATCACTAATAATAGCTAAAAACGCCGAAAACTCAATATTTAAGGTGTTATGGCCATTTTAATGTTTTCGATAATCCATGCTTAAAAAAAGTGATCACAAATAATAGCTAAAAACGCCGAAAACTCAATATTTAATGAGTTATGGTCATTTTAAAGTTTTCGATAATTCATGCTTAAAAAATGCTTAAAAAGTGATCACAAATAATAGCTAAAAACGCCGAAAACTCAATATTTAAGGAGTTATGGCCATTTTAAAGTTTTCGATAATTCATGCTTAAAAAAGTGATCACAAATAATAGCTAAAAACGCCGAAAACTCAATATTTAAGGAGTTATGGCCATTTTAAAGTTTTCGATAATTCATGCTTAAAAAAGTGATCACAAATAATAGCTAAAAACGGCGAAAACTCAATATTTAAGGAGTTATGGCCATTTTAAAGTTTTCGATAATTCATGCTTAAAATAGTGATCACAAATAATAGCTAAAAACGCCGAAAACTCAATATT